GGGGGGCAGCAGGGTGAAGTCCTGCATGAACACACCATAGGCATGCAAGTATTTGCTCCATCTATGATAGAGAAAGTTCCTTTTTGAAGAGAAGTGTTTAAAGTTAAAAGTGTCTTTCTTTAATTGAGATAAATTAGCCCTAACAATTGATTTGAAATTTTGAATTTCTGCTTGGAAAATATGCACTGTCTCCATTGTATCTTGTTTAAATAAGAATTGACATTCTTACTCACATTGATTGTGAGGCCCTTAAAATTAAAAAGAACCATATTTTATTCTGAAAAAATACATGTGTTTACATGAGTATATTATAAATATACATGTGTGTATATATGTACATATATATACATATACACACACACACATATATTTCCAAGAAATTAGTAATTAAAAAATGGGCTCAAAATATTTCTCCAATCTCTTACTTTCTAATATGTTATACCCTTAGTAAAGGCAAGCTTCACAATATTTGAATATTTAACCCGATACCTGTCAGCATTGAGTATGAAGTTAACACCAGTTATGAATACAACCTCCCTGCTGGGCAGCCATTCGAAAGTTGTTCTTTCCGATTCCTGTGTAAATATCTAGGTTAGATTCCTAATAAAAATTCTGTGAACTTTAGCTGAAACAAAAATAACAGAACTATTTGAGGTTTGTTACAGTCACTTCTATATCCAGCTGACCTTGTCCCAATTTTAGCTTTGTTTCCCTTTTCTGTGTGGCTTCTGGGAAACCGCCTTGAAAATAAAATCTACTCAGAGGATGAAATTCTGAACTTCTTACTCTGATAAAACTTCTATCTAGCTCTGCCTTGCAAACAGTTGCCTTTGCACTTCTCAATTTATTTCAGAATCAGTGCTTAAGTTCAGCTGCAGAGGCAATGATAACCCAGAACAAATTAGGATATATTGAACACAGTCAATTTGTGCCAAATGAAGATTCATAACACTGGAAAAAAATTACCACCAGTTCAAGCATATAGGAATCTTAATAGTAAATAATGGCTGTACATTGAACATTAAGAATTTGTTTTCTTTTTTTTTTTAAGGTGTAGAAAAAATAGTAAACTAACTTTACCAGAGAAGCTTATATTAAGTTCAGGAAAGTACTTTGATTTCAGACCATATGCTAAGGACTAGACTATGCCTTTAGAAAGTGAGTACAGAACACTCTTCCCAGGTTTTCATCCTGAGATGAAAGGGGAAGAAAGGGGTAGAATGCATTGCTTCCCTCCTCCAAAGGAGAAGCTAAGATCATCCAGATTTTAGCTCTGCACAAAGCAAGATCAACACAGGTATCTTTCTCTTTGTCCCCTCATGTCCCATAGTGGTAGCATGGACTACTTGTGTTACCTACTTGGCAACATTGAGAAAAATATTGGGGGGTTATATTCTTCTTTTCCTTTGTTTCTTGATCTCCCTCAGGTTCTCTATTATTATTATCTTGATCTCTTCTCTAAAGTGTTTTTAAATGTTTAATGAAAATACTACTATTCTTATATTTATTTCTAATTGAAACAATAGAAGACAAATGCAGGGTCACTGGTAATTTTTAGAGCAATTTTCCTTTAAATAATAAAGGCTGTCAGTCTGTTCAATGATGATCAAGCATGTACCAGCAAAGTTTAAATTTCTGTCCCTGTTTCTCAAATATGCTAAAAATGTTGAGGCTGTTCTGGTAAGCTAAAAGAATCTTAAAACTCAAAGGTCTCATAAATCAGAGTTTTCCCAGGGATGCAATACACACATACTGCGAAATACTGTAATAAAAAAATCAGGAAGCCTAATTTGTAGCCACCATTGCACTTCTAAGCAGAAGATAGACTTCTAACTAAGAATTTACACATAAACTCATCCGATCTCATAAGCTGTCACAATAGACAGCACAAACGTTCCTGTGTGCAGTCCTGGCCCCTGCAAGTGTTGCAGTGTTCCATTAAAATGCTTGGGCCTCAAATGCTCCTGGTCAGAATACTGCCAGTGGCTAAGGATAGATCTTTCACAGCCTCACAAAGCCACAGAAAATGAAGCACTCCCCAGTGTAGAGCTGAGCTGCTCTGACCTCCACAGTGGCAGACTGTACAGGCTCCCTTGCTGCCCTTGCCTTTTCCCAAGTCGGCTGCATGCTATGATACCAAAAAAAAAAAAAAAAAAAAAATTACTGAGGATTGCATAAGACATGTGAAAGCCATACTGTGCAAATCCTTCCTCTATATGCTGTTGTTTTTACCAGAATCACACAGGAAAGTGTAGCTTTTGCATCCTCCCCACTTTACCCAGAATAGTAAATTCCAAAGTCTAATAGAAATAGCCAAAGGATTAAGACAAGAAGGTATGACATACAAGAGTATGTCATGCTCATCTGATGTTTTTTTCTTCTAGTAGTACAGCTGTTAATGTTGTGTGGGACTACCAACAAAAACTGGACCAGATGTTTTATCTACTGGAGCCAATGCTAATACTCACCCATAAGGAGAGCAGGCACCAAGAACTTGTGAAACAGGTGCTACAAAACACATAACTATATTTGGAAGAGATACTTGGATACCACCTACATGGGAGAGCATGAAGTATTGATTTCAAACTCTTTTAAACATTCATCTTGTGGAAAACCCCCACAAAAAAAATACTTTGTGAGGAAGTCTGCAACAGGATGGATACACAGTCACAAAAACATTGGCAACAATTTCACAAGATGATACACTCCTAAATGAACAATAAACCACCTATTCAGGATATAACATTCTCCATGTTACATTTTATGACCAGAAAAACATTTGCAAGAAAAACACTGACATACTTAAGAGTTTTGAAAAATTACCCTCTCGAGCATCTAGTAGGATACAAATCATTCCCTAGGGCACCATGAGTTCTAACATCCTTTAAAGAACAACAATGGATTAACCTCTTAATGTATGTCAGAGATAAATTATGGTCTGTTAACTGAAGTAGTAGATTTTAAAGCAATCAGATGCACTTGATTTCAAATAAAAATTGTCTTAAAAGTACACTAAAGTAGGAAAATGATAAAATGTCATGAATTAAAGAAGTTTGATTTGACCTACTTGAACATATGCACTGTAACAGCCTCGTTCTGCAGTACACAAAAGTTTCTGGCAAAGTAAAGCTTTTGCAGATCTCACTTTGGTAAAACTAAGTAAAAGAGAAAATTTCTTCTTTCTGTCTCTTTTGCTTCATTCACCATCTATCTCAAACTCTAAATGGTGGAGACGGATATGGTATAAATTAGGCATATAATTAGCCAAATGAAGGTTACACAACACATTATGTGCACAAATTAATGACACCCACTTGAAGTGTTTAGTCAGGAAGTGCAAATGAGAAGATTTGAGACCTTTATCAGTACATCTTTAACAAACTCTAATGTGGATATAGAAATTATATTCTCAAAGGTTTATAATTTAGACGATTCTGCCTGGATGTTCCTTAGATTGGCACAATCATCTGTCTTATTTCAGGATTGTTCTTTCTGTCTCTTAAAGTAATCTTGATGACAGTAGTAGAGTTCTAGTAAATAGTGATTTGTGAGAAGATGACTGAACATTTGCAGAGACACTCCTTTACCTTTCATAAATTATTTTTCTTTTGAATTTAAGTTAAAATAAAAAATCTGCTTGGAACAAAGAATAAATGTGAATCCTCTGTTCCACCCACTCTGTTCCAATACCCAGTCACTCCTATAAAGAACTTCTCCCTAATACCCAACCTAAACCTCCTCTGGCACAGCTTAAGACTGTGTCCTCTTCTCCTGTTGCTGGCTGCCTGGGAGAAGAGACCATCCTACCCCTGGCTACACTCTCCTTTCAGGGAGTTGTAGAGAGAGACAAGGTCTCCTCTGGCCCTCCTGGTTAAACACCCCCAGGTCCCTCAGCTACTCCTTATAGAATTTGCGTTCCAGACTGTTCCACAGCTCCATTGCCCTTCTCCGGACATACTCCAGCATGTCAATATCATTCCTAAATTGAGGGGCAAGAACTGGACACAGGACTCAAGTTATGGCCTAACCAGTGCTGAGTGCAGGGGAAGAACTGCTGGCTACACTATTGCTGATACAGGCCAGGATACCATTGGCCTTCCTGGCCACATGAGCACACTGCTGGCTCATGTTCATCCTGCTGTCAGTCAATACCCTCAGGTCCCTTTTTGCCTGGCTGCTGTTCATCCACTCTGTTCCCAGCTGATTGTTTTGCAGGGGTTGGGGAAAAATGCAGGACATGGTACTTGGTATTGTTAAACCTTATATTGTTGAATTCAGCCCATCTATCCAGTCTGTCCAGGTCCCTTTGCATAGCCCTCCTACCTTCCAGCAGATCAACACTTACATCCAGCTTGGTGTCATCCGCAAACTTGCTAATGGTGAACCAAATCCCCGCATCTGGATGATCAATAAAGGTATTAAACAGGACTGGGCCCATCCTTGTGGAACACCACTAGTGACTGGAGACACCAACTGGATGCAGCACCAATCCCCACCACTCTCTGGGCCCAGCCAGCAGCCAGTTCTTAACCCAGCGAAGAGTGTTCCTGTCCAAGCCATGGGCTGCCTGTTGTCCAGGTAAACATCCACAGACTTTCCTGTAGCCACCAGACGGGTCACCTGGTCATAAAAGGAGATCAGGATGGTGAAGCATGAGCCCCTCCTAAACTTGTGTTGGGTCTGATCCCCAGTCATCCTGTAGATGCTGCGTGGCAGTACTCAAGATCATCTGCTCCATAACCTTGACAGACACCAAGGTCAGGCTGACAGGCCAGATCCTCCTTTCAGCCCTTCTTATGGATGGACATCGCACTGGGCAGCTTCCAGTCATCTGAGACCACCCCAGTGAGCCAGGACCAATGATAAATCATGGAGAGCAGCTTGGCAAGCTCATCTGCCAGCTCTCTCATCACCCTAGGACGGATCCCATCTGGTCCCATAGACTTGTGAGCATCCAAGTGGCTCAGCAGATCACTAGTTACTTCCTCCAGGATTACAGGGATCTATTCTGCTCCCAAAATTGTGCTGAGGAGCACTAGCCCTATAGCCGTTTATGGATAACATGGGTCTTCATATTCTTTTGATCATTCATCCTTGCAACTAAAGGAAGTGAATAGAATGCCACCTGTACTCCTGTCCCATCAACCAGTCAACCCAGAGCCTTGAAGTCATTTTCAATTATCCTGGTACTTTTCTTATCAAACTTATCATCACTGCCAATGTGGACAACCAGCAGAGAGTAATAATCAAAGGGCTGAATTAATTCAGGGAGCCTCCCGGTAATGTCCCATATCTGGGCCCCAGGGAGTCAGCATAAAAGTATTTACTCCATAATGAGGAAATGTGTTGGAATTAAGGCTTTCACATTTATGGAACATTATAATTTGTTCTCAATTATTAATTATTATATAATATATTAATATGTAATTATTGTATAATTTTTATATTTTAATTATTAATGAGTTCAGTTAAAAATGTAAAGATCAACTTCCTCCAAGAATAACTGAAGCAAGGTCAATTCCAATGGTCAGTACACTTACTATTACTTCAGCAGTAGTCTTCTTGAAAATGGAGACTAGAAGGATGGAAAGAAAGAAGAATGAAAAAAAGACTCTAAAGTCTGACACTGAATTCTTCATTTCCCTCTTCTAGCTGAGTTAAGGACTCTTTCCTCATTCTTAAGAGTGCATTCCCCAGAAATTAAGTAAAATCATTCCCTATTTTGCTTACCAAAGGGCAGAGGGAACCAAGCCAAGGTCTGTTCCCATCCTGTTCTGACTTATAAAGAAAGTCTTAATTCTTGGTGGAGTCAACTGTTCCCAAAGGCATGTAGCAGTACCATAAATATTTCAAATACCAACTGTACGCTGGGAAGCTCCGGGAGGCATTGGGGTCTCAGTGGAACAAGATGCCTCCCCTGGGAAGTCATGAGGTTGTGTAATGCTGAGCTGTGCTTACAGGGATAACCAGGCTTCCTGTGTTGCTTATTAAAACTTAGATTACTTCTTGTTCCTTTTAAGTCTACACTTGTGGTTTCTTATTAACCATTCCTTTAGCATATTATCAAAGTCTGATGATACAAAGTCCAGTGTGTGCATTCCTTCACTTTTAGTTCGGTTTCCCCAGGAACATGGCTTGCAGCTACAGCATTTTTAAGCTTTCGTGTTGCCTATCTGCCAGCTCCTGGAAAATCTGTTAGCTATTTCTGCCCAAATTCAACAGGGAGCTGAAAGACTCATCTGTATACATTTCCTACAAGTCTCATGAAAATAACTGGCCTCAAAGGTCAAGGGGATACAGACGTTGCTGTCCTGGCAGCAAAGGCTACAGTGTGAGTGCAATCATGGTTAGGCATAGGAGAATCCACATGGAAATTCACCCTCAGAAAATATTCATATAAAATAAGGCTTCTTTAATTCCACTGTTTATGCAAATACTTGATTTAGGTAACATATCTACATTGGAAAATCAGATGACAGGAATGTCTTTGTTAATTTATGGATCATTAAAAATTTTGTATACTAATGTATTCGCCTGATCCTGCTCCCATCAACATCAAAGGGATCTTTTCACCAAGTTAAGAGGTAATTGGACTAGGCCTATGCATAAACATTTATAATACCAACATTAAAACATAATTACTTTGTAAAAGGCTCAAAAGCAGAAACAAAAGAAACATTTTAATCCAGTTTTAAATGCTGTAGTAGATTTCCTTTAAACAAAACAACAGCATAAAAGGAAACCACAAATTCATATTCGTAAAAGCATAAATGAGTGTACCATAAGTGCAAGTAATGTTCACTTCCTTCACTATTCCTGCAATTTTATTATATTTTGGAAACGAAACTTTCCATTATTCAGTAACACGCTGCTTACAGAGGAGGTTTTCATTGAAGTGCAAGATGGCCAAAGTTATTCTGCTGGATGGAAAATTAATGTATATGAGGTATGGGATTCCATGACTCCTTTCTTAAAACATCTATATAAATTAACATGAGAATATTCAGAAGGCTTGGCTTTCAGGGATTCATGGAAGTCCTACAGAGGCTTTGGTAAATGCCTCCATTGAGGAAATATTTCATATCCTTCAGTAGCCTGCTATTCCACCCAAGAGAACATTCATGTGCTTTTGAACCAAAGTTAAAGCTCAGCTAAGAAGCCATTAACTGTCCAGATTAATCCTGTATTGGAAAATCTTTCAGGGGGGATGGAAATTCCATGACAAAGTCTTAGCAGATTTTCCGCTGTATTGTTCCTGTAGGGAGAAAGAGGGGTTGTGTTCCCACAGAACTATCAGTGGGCCCAGTCCAAGGTGTTCTCAGAGGATTCATCAGGGTCTAGGAGCAGCAATCACACATAAAACTCCCATGTCTTCTGATGGCATTTTTGATCTACTTCTCCCAAAAACTGTATTATCAGGTTCTCCCTCTCTTGATGCTAAATGGCATATATAAAATTATATTAAAAATAATAAAAAATAGGTATTTTTGCTTAAAATGTGAGCATTTGAGGTGTCTGTTCTATGACAAATTTGTCAACTGGATGCTGCTTCTACTTGAGACCAAATTAGTTTGGAGAAAGGGCTTCAGGTGGGAAGGTGTGAAAAGTTATGTCAGTAGTATTTAATTTAAAATATGTATAAGCAGACTCCTATTTTACTCCTCTTGTGTGGAAGTAATACTGGGTGAATTTCTTTCTGTAAGATCATCCTGTCCTGCAAAAAGCTAAAGAGGACAGCATGACACTCAGAGATTAGGAAACTGCATTACAGCTTGGTTTACCCAAAATATGTCAAGAAAAGAGAATACTGCTCTAAAGGAGACCTGACTGCCACAAGACAATACAGTAGGGAAACTGGATCAAATTAGTACCAAAACAGCAAGAAATCAGACTTCATTAAATAAATTACCATGTATATGAGTAAGTTAAAACAACTATATCTAAAGAAGATTATCTGAACAATCATCTTTTCTTAAGAAGGTAGAAATAGAAATGAAGTGTTATGAATTCATGATTTATTCTATGTGGCAGTAATTCTGTAAGTATTCTAATAGAAATGTCTTTCCCTGGAGAGTAGGAATGTAATGCAGTACAGTTTTTTGTTTCTAGAGTTCCCTCTTCTATTTTTCCTTTTCTCTAATTTTTTGTTAAGATCTTATTTACTATCATTCAGAGATATTGTATTTAGACTTCATGTATTAGACTTCTTGTAGTGGCTTTGCTACAAAGAAACTGACATTATATGTTTATAAAATTTTTGGAGGATGTCACCAAAGCATACAGAAAACGGTCACTAGTTTGATTTGAATTTGCCAAGCAATATTAGCACAATAATTTTTTAAAATATCAAAAAGTAGTAATTGACATATCTACATAATGGATTACTTCAACATAATGTTGTTTCTGTATGTGACAGAAAAAGGAAAGCAAAGAAGGTCTCTGTCATCCAGATGAGAAAGGAAAATGCATATTGCTCTCTAGTTTCTTGAGAAGTTTTGAACTAGTGTTACTCAAGCGTGGCACTATCCTCTCACTGTTTCCTAGTACACTGTGACTGAGACTTTCTCGATGCTGTGACTGACACTGTCCATTGTGAGAGGCCTATTAGAAAAAGAGACATGTAGAGACAATATAGTGGTTGGTGGCTGGAAAAGACAAGAAACATCTGGGCTCAATGTTGTGCTTTAATGCAAAGTGTAATCATCCCCACGCAAAGAGACTGAGGATCTGCCCAGAGTCATCTGAGCTGTGCTATGGCCATACTGTTCAAGAAAGAGGATAATAGCTAGTCAAGTGCTCTCAGGTAGAGGAAAGATTGTCTTAACACTTCCCCCTTCCTGGGCAGTCTGATATGAAGAAAAGCTCTGACAATAAAACCACTCAGACAGTAAAAATACATCTAATTTTCCATCTCCATGACTTTTATCAGTGTGTACCTGAAAACCAAAATACTTTTGTGTCCTAAATTGCAAACTAATGACTAAAAGCTACCAAAATATTTCAGCTTTGGAGAATCAAAAATCAGATTTCGCCAGTGTAGATGAATTGGGTTTCATTCAATTTTCTGGATTTTAATCTTGATGACAAGAAATAAAAATATTCAAATGGCCTTATTGTCTGTGTAATTGGTTTGACAGCTGAATAAAAAATTGGCACAAACCAAAACCCAAAAATAAACAGAAGAAACCACCTCAAAGTCTTTGCCCCCCAAGCAAGGTTCTTTGTGTAATGCAGCAGAAATGAGTGTCACCCTACAAAGACAAACTCTTTCAGATTGTGTTGAATAATTCATTTTCTGTTTTCTGACTGAATTTCATAACGGTTGGCTTGTCAAGAATCCATGTTACCATGTAAAGCACATTTGGATACATGTAAAGATACTCAGCTTTCTCATCTGCCTTGCTGGTGTATAAGAATTGTCACATTATCCCTTAGATTTCCAGATCAATTTTTGCTGATGGAGGTGAATAGACACTGAGATATCACTGTTGCCATACCTCCTGTACTGGGAAAGATGTTATTACTACATTTGCTGTTGTTTGCTTTTGTATAAAAAGAAGAGACTTAAGCTAAAAACGTCATCTGTTGAGCACATATGTTTCTATTTCTAAGAACTGGATAATTTAATTATATTATCTGTTACAAAATGTTCTTCATACAAAAAGTGGTATTTGAACAAATTATTTTAATTAATACTGAATTTTAATGCATGTCATAAAATGTCATTTTTTTCCCAGACAGAATATGCTCTTGTTGACTGATGTGATATGGGTAAATTAATGTAAAATGATCATTTAGTCTATTAACTACCACTTTTGCCAACAGGCAACATTCACTCACTACCTTTTTTTTGTGGTATTCATTAGGTACCGGAGCATGCTGTATATAGGATGTACGTATATGTATATGTATGTGTATGTGTATGTGTATGTGTATGTGTATGTGTATGTGTATGTGTATATGTATATGTATATGTTTATCCTCAGCCTCTCTGCTGAGCTACTGTCCTCAGCCTCTCTTCTGAGCTACTGTTCTTCCCTCATTTACTGCAACATCCTTTGCCTCTTGCCTCAATTTCTTTACTAAGGATACACTTTTAGACAGTACTTTAAATAATTCCAAAAATCTTTGAGTGAACTTATACATAACATAACAGAGTTATTTCAAATAAGAAATAAGCTCTGTTAAATACCCAAAATACAGAAATCTTTCTCTGAGTTTTTTATAAATTCAGTTTCAATTTCACAGGACTGTGTGAATAGAGATAGCTGTGATTCTGTGAAATCTGTAGAAAATGTGTGCCTTTAAACTTGCCTATCACAAATTTCTTCATAACAGTTCACATTTATGGAAAAAAAAAAAAAGAGAAAGAAAAAGAGGAAAAGGGGGAAGGGAAG